GTTCAGTGGTGCTATCTAACCATCTCATCCTCTGCCGTCCTCTTCTCCTTTTGCCTTCAATCCTTCCAGCATCAGGGTCTTTTCCAAAGAGTCCTCTCTTCGCATTAGGTGACCAAAGTATCTCAGCTTGAGCTTCATTATCAACCCTTCCAATGAGCAGCCAGGGTTGATTTCTTATAAAATAGGTGTATATACAACTAAAATATCTCTTGATTTTGCAATAGACCTGGATACATTAGCAATATCTAAAACTCCTGAATTATTGCTGCTATTTATACTTTAGATAATTCAAAATTCACCATATTTTTAAAGGTTATATATCTAAGACAGATATTAGGTTTTTGCAAATAATTATTTGAAAACTTTGAAAAGAGAGTTGGAGTATCCTCTATTTGTGAATCAATGGCAAATGGACTTAAAATATTAAGTACATTTCCTACGATCTTAAAATTAATTCAACAAAATCTTCTTGTTCTTGGTTATTAGACTCCTTTGACAATGCTTTAAAAAGGCTGGTTATTAACTTCATTATGTTAAAAGTACAAGGATACACTCAAATGATATGGGCTTGTTCAATTAATACTCCGTTTGGGGTTGATATCCATATGATTGTTAATATGAGGATAACAGTTAGTGTATTTTTGAATTATATACCAAAAATGTGGATCTATCAGTATATGAACTATAGAGTTATTAAGGTTAGGGAGAAGCAAAGAATCTTACTGTTCAATATTGGAAAGATAAAGCTACCAGAGAATTATAATCTCTTTTATTTAAGAGGGTTTTTTTTTCCTAATGAAAAGTTGGATAAATATTATTTCAGGTGATTTGTTTACAAAATTGTCTGAATATTTCATAATAGATTATGGTTTGTTTTGCTCTTTCTATATCATCTGTGTGGCCAATTTCAAAACAAATGCAAAAGCAGCATCATTATTTAGTAAAGCCTTTTTTTTAAAAAAAAGGTATTGTTGGTAACTATAAAAGCGCTTGATGGCTAGCATCCCAGAAATGTCATCCCTGGCAAAAACAAAACTTTAGGATTGTATGAACCTAGTTTGATCTGACTCTGACAGCATCTCTAGATTGAGAAGCTCCATATTTTTTTTCTGTTTGCCAAGGTCCAGCTCCAAGGGGATTCTTCCCAAATGACCAATCAGAGGCAGAAAAAACAGTGAATTCTTCTTGTCAACAAGAAGGGGGGGGGGGGGGTGCGAAGTTATAGCAGGCACTGAAGATTAAAAAGGTAACCAAGGAGTTTCAGGTGATAGTAGCAACGTTAAGATGACTCTGCTTTACTGAATTCTTCTGAATGTCTGATATGAGATCAAAAATCTCAGAGAGCAGGCCAAAGCTTTTAAAGTGATGGCCAGAGGAGCCGTAACATTCTCAAGATTTTGACAGCTCTCTTAGAGGCCATATTTTAGCATCATCAGAGCCCTTTAGGACCAAAAACTGCCCAGCTTTGCTTTAGATATTGTGGCATAAAATATGTAAAACATATTCATGGTTAATGAGGTATTCTGCAGTGTCTATAAAGAAAAAATAATGGTAAACCTCACATGAACTATTCTGTACAGCGTTCTTATAATCGTACGCGTTGCCATGGAAATTTCCTGGCACTAAATGTAAATAATGTTTGAAAATAAAATCTGCAAAGGAGATTTTATCTATACAGACACATACACAACTTCATATTTAGCAGCATATATAAATCAAACACCTGAATTTTCACAGGAAATCTCACACCAGAAGCAGAATATAATGGATATTTACAGGGAACCCCCCCACTGAAGTTAGTAAGAATTAAAACTTGGTTAGCTGTTTTGAAGAAAAAAATAAAATGCCAAATGTAAGCAAAGAAATAAGATACAAGAAAATTATAAATTATAAAAAAAAATACAAAAGTAAAAACTGTTTTATTGTATTGTTGTTATATCTTCATAATATAAGGAAGTTCAACCTGCTGATCTTATACTGAGCTGGATACATTAAACTATAACCACAATTTATCCATATAGATATATGATATCTATACTTTTATTTCAAATCAAAATGGATTGTAGGGGAACTAGAGGTGTTCTCAGAGGAGTCAAAAAAGTCAAGATAGTGGCCACTACTGCACAATTGAAACCCCACCCCTATTTTTTTGTGTTATATGTATAACTCTAAAAAGGAGTGAGGCTTCATTCATATGGGCTTGGTCAACCTATTGATTTTTGGATCCCTTTCATGGATGCCCCTGGGGGAACATTGTTTCGCTAACTCTAAAAAAGAATTTGAATGAAACAAAAAACAATATAAAGAAAGCAAAGGAACAAGTACAGATGGTTTAAAAGTGTGTGTGTTTTTTTCTGTAACCAGGATTAAATTAATAATGTTATATTTTCCTTCATCCTCTGATACCAGGAAGTTTAAAAATATATAATATGTAAAAGATCCAGTAAAAGCATATCAAAATACAATATAGAAATTACATAAAATGGGCAAATACCACCAGCTTATTAAAACCTAACATGAATGAGGAAAGAAATATAATTTGACGCTAAGAAGAATATAATGTCAGTACCAATTGCTTCTCCAACAGGAGGCTGTTGTACAGCAAATGTTGAATAGGGATTTAAAAGATACCTGGAGAAGGGAAAGCGGATATCAGAAGAGATGCTCCTCCATATTTATTGTGTAAAAATCCATTTCTTGTAGAATCTGTTGAATGTTACATTCAACAGATTCTCAGAACAGTGAGAAAATGGTAAAAACTCTTTCTATAATCATACACCATTATAACCTTTTCATAGAGATTGTTAAAAAGAATTCTGCTCAATATCTAAGTAGCATCTATTCAAAACAGTTAAAAAGAAATCACAATTGTGTTGAAAACCTAATAGAGAAGAATAAAAACATAGGAAGGTGTGATTATACTCCAGGTATCCTCCAGGTAAGAAATGACTGCTACATAAGGAATGTTTATTTAACACCTCCAGCTTTAAAAAACAAAATATAGTGGTTTTTCAAGCTCATCTAAGCAAACTGGGCATCCTACTCTAGTTGCAAGACTAAATGGACCAAAATAGACTAAATGGAGAGAGACCCCACAGGAGACTTTTGTTATCAAAATAATATTTGTATTAATATTAGTATTAGTATATGGTATATGTTTATATCTAAACTATTTTCCTCAAAATGAAGCCTGTGGGGTAGGTTGGTATGAGAGAAAATGAAACCGAAAGTCACCCAGTGGGCTTCCATGGATGAGGATGAATAGAATTTGGCTCCCTCTGTTTCTAGTCTAACACCTTAACCACTACACTTCACTGGATCTCATTTTTGCTTATTTTTAGAATAGTCAATAACAAGCATACCTTCTACGGTACTTGTGGCATTCTGAACACCAGGAGAAAATGTATTTTTCAAAAGACATTGGCTCTTCCTCCACATAGTCTAATAGATGTTTAAAGAAATATTTGATACCACCGATCTGGATTTATCCACATATAAAAATATAGAAACATCTGAAAATTCTACAGCACAGTGTATTGACTTACTCTGGAAACAAGGAAGACCAGCCAGGGATGAATCCAGGATCTCTAGTAAACCATAGCAAGGCCATTAGAATGAACAAGATGAGGGTGACAACTTCAGGGTAGCTGGAACAGAAACACCATGTATCGATCATCACCCTTGAACTGATTTTCTTTGGTAGCATTATAATATTTCTTCTGTGGATTAGCCTTATGCCTTACCTTACTGGTCCAAGTTTCTTGTATTCATCTTTGATCACCTGTGCTGAAGCTTGTTCTCTGGATGACTTTGTCTTGCCACACTGGAACATTTCTTTGAAGCTGAAATGAAAAGTGAATAGATATAACTAGTTATAATATAAGTTCACTAGGTGATAGGTTCCATTTCTGATGACTCATCTAAAGAACTCCTTGAGGATTTGGGCTTGTCCAGAAGAAGGGTTGGCCTTCCTCCTTTGAAAAGGACACTAATCTCATGGCTAGTCCAACATATTTTGCTGCACAAAAGATAATGCTGCAATTCCACGTACAAAAACTGACCTGACTGGCAGAGCAATCTTACTTCAACACGGATGATGGAACAATGCTGTCCAAGGCAGCTATTAGATGACTGGGCTGGATCTTTGCCATTTGCAGTTCTCATCTCCAATATTTGCCTACCATTCCTTGTTTTGCCCAGCATGCTGCCTGAATCAACTATCACAGGCTTCCTAAAGGTAGGGCCAGTGATGACTTCTCTATTCTGTTTTGCATTATAAATTTTGCTCATGTGCATATCAAGATAACCTAATCCACAACCTTTTTCTTTCTTGAATCCTCAGGCTATTTGCCTTCACTGAAGCATAGGATATCTACTACATACAGTATTGTAGCTGAGCAAAAAGATACTAAGAAAAATAACCACATATTTTCCCTTACTTCTCTATGCCTTCATTTTTCTCCTTCCTCTATTGTTTCCTTATATTTATTTACTACTTATGCTCCTTGGGGTAAGGATTTGTTATATCTATTCATTGTAAAACACATCCTTACACAAGCTGATATTACTTTGGACTCCTCCCCCGTAAGAGTACTTACTTGAAACCCAGAAAAAGCCACTGAAGCCAGACCCAGGAAAGTAATAAAATAATAATAGTGATGGGGATGCAAAGAATAAACCAGGATCCAAAATTGATGCATTGGCAACCAGGGTATCGTCTGAAAAAAATAAAAATGAAAATGAAATTCAAGTTGAGATAGGGGCTTTGAATATGAACAGCAAGATATTTCTTAAACCAATATCCACAGTAGGCTCTTAAAATGGTAATTCTTAAGAGAAAACCTATCCAGCTTTCATCTGAAATAGATGGCTACTCTCCCAGAAAGTGAAAATGGAATATTCACTATTAGCAGTGTAAACTCTTGCACCAATTTGTCTATGTCCCATGCATGGTGGAAGCATTAGAGCAGTGTTG